ACACACACACATACACACAACCCTCTCCTGGAATTCCATTGTAATTCGATTTCCTAAGGAGATGATCAGATACTTGGACAGGACACACATACCTCATATTCAAAACAACGCTAATGATAACATCAAAAACAAACCAGGAAACCAGAGCAGAACTAACCTGTGTGAATCCAAGTCTTCCCAGAAGTAGGCACCAGGATGGGATTCTCCATGCAAAGGGGTTATTGGCAGCCAAGCCTGCGGGAGCAGGTTGGGCTGGGCGAGCGGGCCGACCCAGGCAGGTCTGCTCCCTGCTGAAGGAGACAGGGAAGGAAGGAGGGCTGGTGGCAGCATCTGAGACCCCAGGGCTTTCCCGAGAGAGTTGGGACACACACAGCGTCACTGGCTGGGAGAGGCCTGTGGGAGGCAAGGCCCCGAGTGCTGGGCTGATGGATTTCAGAGCACAGCAGCCGGGCTCAGTCCATTATACTTCCCACAGGAGGAGGTCTGAGAGGCACAGTTTCCTGGCTGCTATATAACCCAAATGCCCCAAAATAAGAGAATGGCTAAAACAAAATGAAACAAAAAAACAACTATGGTATCTCTATAAGATGGCATTATGTGGCCATTCAAAATCATTTTCTCAAGGAATACTTAATGGTAGGGGAAAAAGCAGGATACAAATGTATTTATGAAGATCTCTATTAAGTTTAAAAATGTGTGTGTATATGTGAGTGTGTGTAACATATATGGCCAGAAAGCAAGACTGGAAAAGAAGTAACTTTGAGGATAGGGGTAATTTTCTTTATATTTGTATCATGTTCAAAATTTTCTAAAATCAGTATATATTATTTTAGAAATCAGTACAATAAACACAACTTCAAATTTTAAATGTTTTTATTGATTTTTTTTTTAAGAGAGGGATAGAGAGTTAGAAACATCAATGAGAGAGAAACATCATCAGTAGGCTGCCTCCCACATGCTCCCTTACCGGGGATCGAGCCTGCAACTCAGGAATCAAACCAGTGGCCTCTTGGTTCCTGGCTTGGCCGGATACAACTTGAAATTTTAAAAGAAATAGCACCCAGGGAAAAGAGGATGAAATTCGGAGAGGTTTGAAGGGTTTTACAAGTGGTAAAGGTCAAACTCTTTGGCCACCTCACGGCTGTTCACTGTTATAAGGTTGGTTGTTTCTTTCTTTTTTTAATATATATTTTTCATTGATTTCTGAGAGGAAGGGAGAGGGATAGATAGAAACATCAATGATGAGAGCATTTGATCTGCTGCCTCCTACATGTCCCACACTGGGAATCGAACCATGGCCTCCTGATTCATAGGTTGATGCTCAACCACTGAGCCACCCCGGCCGGGCTAAGGATGGTTGTTTCTTCTCACTGATCTCTGAAATTACACTAGGGTCCACTAGTGTTCACAGCTGTTCATTTTCCTGGCTAAATGGCACAACCAAAGTAGCCTATCAGGGCAGATTGTTCCTTGAACAGTAACTGATTTCTCAGTGTAACTGTGCAATGTTGTTACTTCCCCCCCTTTCTCTATAACTGTAGTACTCTATAATGAGAAGAGATATTTAGAATGACAATTGTAAGGCTCCTTGTGATCCCAGCTTTATTCATTTACTTATTCAAACACATTCTTTCCCCAACATTGGTGCTAAGAACAGATATTCTTGGATTTCAGTTTCTGGTCCTCACCTTTATGTGATGTAACCTCATCTCTATCCTGGGCATCTCTATCCGTAGAATCAAACAATATGTGCCTCTTGTGTCTGGCTTCTCTCACTCAGCATCATGTTTTCAAGGTTCGTCCACATTGTAGCAGGTGCCAGTGCTCATTCCTTTTCATGGCTGAGTAATATTCCATTTATACATCCATAGATCACAGTTTGCTTATCCAGTCATCAGTTCAAGGACAGGTGGGTTGTTCCACGTTTGGCTATTATTTTTTTCATTGGGTTATTTTTCATTTTATTGTTGAGTTGTAGGAGTTAGATTTTCTGGATACTAAGCCCTTATCACATACACAATTTGCATTTCCCCCCCATTCTGTGGGTTGCCTTTTCACTTTTCTTGATAGTGCCCTTTGACACAAAAATTTTTATTATTGATGAACTCATTTGGTAGCTCCAATAGTTGTGTGTGTGTGTGTGTGTCTGTCCTTAGGGTTTCCTCTATATGGTATCGTGTCATGTGTACATAGAGACCGTTTTTCCTTCTTCCTGTCCAATCAACCTGCAGTGTTGAACAGAAGCAGGAGCACAGACATTCTTGTCTTGTTCCTGTCTTCGATGGGAAGTGTTCAGTCCTCCAACCATTGAACACATCAGCTGTGGGGTTTTCACAGATGCCTGTGTCAGGTTGAGGAAGTCCCTTCTCCTCCTAGTTTGTTGAGTGTTCTTATGACAAAAGGTAAGCCTTAGTTGTAAAATAAGGATAATGATTTCCACCATCTACGGATCTTTTAAGGATAAAGATGGGATCACAGGGGCGAGGGGAGGGGCTAGGCTCCCCTGTCAGACACGCCCATGTCTACAGCTCAGATTCACACTGGGTGCTGGTGCCACCCGGCAAGTTATGTAAGCCTCAACTTCCTTATCTTTGAAGTGGGTTGCTAATAGCACCTGTTTCGTAGAGTTGCTGAGTCAGCCCGGGCAGTGAGTGGTAGATGTGATTTAAATCACACGCTTACTGAGTGAGTGCCCAGGACACAGACGCTTTGTGCTTTGGTAGATGACTGATAAAACGAGATGTGGTCCCTGTCCTTAGGAAGGGGTGATCACGTGATGCAGTACTGACAACTGCCACGCAGAAGGTGGCATGTGACGTGAGTGACAGAAAAGGAGAAATGGAGGTGGTCCAAAGTGGGGTGGGCCAGAGCAGGCTGCAGAGAGGAGGACGCACAAGGCCTTCCAGGGGGAGGGGCTCTTGGCAGAGGAAGAGGGAAGAAGCGTGGGGCATGGCTACGGAACAACAAAGAGTCCATTTTGCCTGGCACCTGGGCTGCGCCACGGGGAGTGATGGGAGATGAGGTGGCCACACTGAGGACTGGGCTTCATTCTACCAGGGTAGTAGGTTACGAAGTGCTGGGAGGAGATGCAGACGAGATTAAGAGATTAGATTGTTTGAAAAAGGGATGGGCGTTAGGAAGCTGAAAGCTCTTTCCTGACCGTTTAGCCCAGAGTCCAGGAAGGTTCTGTTAGGACAAACTCAGTGCTGACCTGTACGGCTGTGTCCTCGGCCTGGAATGGGACTACAGGCAGCGACATTTCAGAGGGAGAATTCACAACACGGGATTGGATGAATGAAAAAGGAGGGGGAGGTGACTAGAAACCCACACATCTAGTCATGTTTTTCATGGTGACTAATGTCGCCCCAATAAATTTAAATAAAAATTAAAAAGGGGGCAGGCAGGATGCTGCCAGGACAGGAGAATCAGAAGGACTCCAGGATATTAAAAAGGAGAATGGTCTTGGCCGTGGTGTTAATAAAATCTGAGAAATTTGGCCATAGCCGGTTTGGCTCAGTGGATAGAGTGTCGGCCTGAGGACTGAAGGGTCCTGGGTTCGATTCTGGTCAAGGGCACAGGCCCGAGCTGCAGGCTCGATCCCCAGTAGGGGGCATGCAAGAGGCAGGTGATCAATGATTCTCTCTCATCGTTGATGTTTCTCTCTCTCCCTCTCCCTTCCTCTCCAAAATAAATAAAAGCATATTTTTAGCCCTAACCGGTTTGGCTCAGTGGATAGAGCGTCGGCCTGTGATCTGAAAGGTCCCAGGTTCGATTCCGGTCAAGGGCATGTACCTTGGTTGTGGGCATATCCCCAATTGGGGGTGTGCAGAAGGCAGCTGATCGATGTTTCTCTCTCATCGATGTTTCTAACTCTCTAACCCTCTCCCTTCCTCTCTGTAAAATATCAATAAAATATATTTTTTTAAAAAAGCATATTTTTAAAAATATCTGAGAAATTTGGAAGAAGGTACGATTTGTTGGGAATGAGGAAGAAGGCAGGGAAGAGAGATGGCAAATAGCAAAGTAGCTAACATGGTAGGTTTGTGGCCATCGAATCCTTACAGCACCCAGTGGGGAGGTATATCGTCAGCCACGTTTTACAGATGAAGACTTTCTGGTCCAGACAGGTTGTCGCTGGCCCAAAGCAGCCAGGAGCCAGATGGTAGAGTTTGGGTTTTTGTCCAAATGCAACAGGAAGCCACTGGAGTTAAAGCAGGGGACGAACACAGTGCATCTTAAGTGACTTTAAAAAGCCAACTCTAGCTCTGTGGCGACAATGGATGGAAGCAAAGGGTGGAACCTAGAGGTTGGTGCCATCACCGGGCCAGGCGATGAGGCCACGGTGTATGAATCACTGTGATGGCAGTGGGGTGGGGAGGAGCGCTGGGCCTGTGATTATTTTGGAGGCAACACTGACCAGTGTCCTGGTAGACAAAAGGCGGAAAGTGAAGAAAAGGAAGAAGTGAGGGTGATGTCTGAATGTGTGTCTTGAGCAGTGGGGTATCAAGATGCAGGGGTGGAGATGCCTGAGTTTGGGCAGGCGAGATTGAAAGTTAAAGAAAGACTGGTTAGAAGTAGAGAGACTCGGAAGAAACTTGTGAGTGGAGAGGAATGAGTCAAATGGAAGAGGAGAAAAGAGATAACTTTTCAAGGGACAGAAGTGATAACGCAAGAAAAAGCCCCACTGGGGAGAGGGGGACCACCTGGCTGGGTGCATGGAGGGTTAGGTTTGTGACCCTTTCTGCCGTGGAAAGTGCTCTGCTGTGGCCTCCTGGCTCAGGTGTCACCTACCATGGGGACATTCCTGATCCCCTTCAGGGCCTGGTTCCTGCCCTTCCTCATGCCCCCCATGCTTACCCCATCACTCACAGGTTTTGTTGTGTCTCCAATACAGTCCCTGTTGGGTTCCCTGAGCTGAGTGCAGATTCCGCTTTCAGCTCACACTCTCCTTGGTCAAAGACTGGAGGAAAGAGCGAAAAATTGGGTAAACTCGTGGCGGGTGTTGGGGGAAGAGGTACAGTATGGGTTGTGCAGTTACACTGTTGAGTGGGCTGGGGACTCAGGAGACCCCAACGGGTTGGAGTCTGGGCTTCAGAGGCAGGTGAGGGGCAGGTGGGAAAGACTGTAATCCCTGTCACCCAGGCCCCGCTGCCACCACAAATCTGTAATGGAAACAACTAGCCCTGTTGGGTCACTTCCCCCAGGAGCGAAAATCAGTCAGACTAGATGAAGAGATTAGATTGTTTGCTGTACCATACCTATTAAGGCAGGAAAGTAGACGCTTATCTTAGAAAGCCTTTCCCCTTTTTAAACAATAAGGGTTTTCTAGCTAATAATTCGGTGAAACAGAAAAATCTGATCAATCAGAACTCCCCATTCCCCAGGTTTCTCATTAACTGTGACTTCGTAGCTTTTCGCAGGACCAACATGGCAGGCGTATATGCAACGCTGGAAATGGCACTAAGAACACATTTACTGTTCACAGGGGAAAGCCACACGGTCTCTGGGGTTTGCTTCAAAATAATGGGGGCGGGCGGGGGTGGGGTGCATGTGCGACAGGATTGGCCCTCAGTGGATCATTGTGAAAACGGATGAATGGGCCCTCAGTTCATTACACTGTTCTACTTCTGTGGATGCTGGAGATTGTCTGAAATGAAAAGATAAAAAAGCACGCTTACTGAAATTTAGGACAAGCGCAATCACACCACCCCACAGAGGCTCAATTTAGATGCTGACATACCGAAAAGAGGTACTGGAGAAGGTAAGTTCTGTTCTGTAGAATTGAGTCCACATCTGAGGTGAGGTGCCTTTAAATGCCACTTAGGAGAGTTCTTATCCTATCTAAACCTAACTACGAAATTACAGCCTCAATTAGGAAACTTGACTTTTTATATTCAGTATGTAGTTGTATGAGTCAATCTTTAAACCTTGTTCCACACCCCGTCAGTGTGACATCTCACACCCCAGTCACCCCTCTGTCTCTGACTTCTGACCTGGCCGCACCGCCTGCATTTGATACAGAGGAGACGTGACTAGTCTTGGACTTTTCCAAGCTCACATTGACTAAGATAGACTGTAAGGCAGAATGGGGTGAACGTTATGACGTGAACTGGTTGCGAAATGATGGTGCCAGAGACTTGGATTAGGGTTAGGGCAGTGGGATAGAAAAGTGGGAAATGACCTTGAGAGAAACGTAAAAGACAAACTTGATAGGGCTTCGTGTTGGAGGAGGGGAAGGAGAGATGGGGGCATCAAGGATAATGCTGGGATTTGGAGCATGGAGAGCCCATTGACAAGATAAAAGTGACCCTTCAGCTTCTCACTCTGACCCATGTCACCTTGACTGTTGCTTCTCTATGAAATGGGAATAATCACACCACCAACTTGAGAAGCGTCCACAGGTGAGGATGTCCCTGCGGTGACTCCACGCCCGAGAGAGGAATGGGAATCTCTTGTGCACTAGCCACACTCCTTTTAGACCAGTGGTTCTCAACCTGTGGGTCCGACCCCTTTGGGAGTCGAATGACCCTTTCACAGGGGTCGCCTAAGACCATCGGAAAACACATATATAATTACATATTGTTTTTGTGATTAATCACTATGCTTTAATTATGTTCAATTTTTAACAATGAAAATACATCCTGCATATCAGATATTTACATTACGATTCATAACAGTAGCAAAATTACAGTTATGAAGTAGCAACGAAAATAATTTTATGGTTGGGGGGTCACCACAACATGAGGAACTGTATTAAAGGGTCTCGGCATTAGGAAGGTTGAGAACCACTGCTCTAGACACTCTCTGCTCCTCCCTTGCCAGCCCATCCAAACTCTGCTTCTCCAAATTATGCCCAAACATCTTTCTTACTTAACATGGAGCTGGGCTCAAAAACTTGAAAGAACCAGACAGACACCAGGTGCTTAGCTTGTTGGCAGTCGAGCTCCCTGTGGCTGGAAGGAGTCCACATGCCACTCACCTCTCTCCAGGGCCCCGACCCTCAAAGCCCCACATCTTGTTTTGTGTCATGAACTTCTTCCCTTGGGGGAGGCCTTGGGGTTTGATCAGACAAGAACCTGTGTAGCAAACCACTGCATTTTAGTCAAGAGATACAGATCTGGGCAGTTGGTACAAGCGCCACTCAACTCTGCCCGCCTGGTGAGTTCACGGGCAGAATCGGTCACACTGGGCGTGGGGAACTGGCCCCTTTGGCGGAGGCCTCTCTGTAGAACCACTGTCTTTCTGGAGACACCTCCAGAACTTCACCCGCCTTGACCTCTGTCCTCACCCCAATGCCTCCACTGCAGGGGGCATCCCCACCTACAGGCCAGGAGCGCAGCCGGGCGGCACTCTGCCTGCTCTCCTTTCACCGGCTCCCCATAGACCAGTGGTTCTCAACCTTGGCTGCACATTAGAATCACCTGGGAGTCTTTTTAAAATCCTGATTTCTGGGCCTCATCCTCCGGAAATTCTGTTTCTTTGTTATGGGGTGGGGCCACAACATTAGTAACAAAGAAACAGAATTTCCGGAGGATGAGGCCCAGAAATCAGGATTTTAAAAAGATTCCCAGGTGATTCTAATGTGCAGCCAAGGTTGAGAACCACTGCCATAGACCAACAGGGCAGCACTGAAGACCACACACCACGAGTGTTTCCAAAAAATACGGCTTTTTATTGTTCTGGATGTAAATGTAGTTTTCAAACTGCATTGTAGTGTTGAACACAGCTGGTGGAAACATGCTTCTCGACACGCGTGATAGGGCTGTGCTCTGGGTGACACGGGCCTGAGGGAGCCTCCACTGCCCAGACTCCGCGGGGGTTTCTTTCCCAGACGGGGGTAACTGTCCCCTAAAGGAGCCCTGACACCATCACCGAAGCTCCCAGCAGGAAAAAGCGACCCATTAAGCTCTTAGCAGGGAACGAAACCCGGACAATTAAAGAGCGTGGTGTCTGGGCCGTGAGAGGGCTCAGATGTGGAGTGGCAGGTGCGTGGGGGAGGCTGTGCTCGGCTCCCACGCGAGCACACAGCTGGGCCGGGTCTCCCAGGGCCGGGCCCTTCCTACCTTCTAACTGCAGGATGGAAACTCTATGGAAACATATAAAACTTGAGTTTCTCCCAGCCCCGCACAAGCTCAGTTCTTGAGAGCAACATGTCTCTGTTCAGAAACGCAGAAGAGAATTCTTCGAATCAGCGACGCCCTCGGTCGACTATGGAACCAAAAGTTTGACTGGGAGGTAAAGGTGAATTTTGCTACATAATTGGAAAGGAATTTCACAAAAATAAAATTTCATTAAGTAAACACACTCACACACACACACACACACACACACACACACACACACAGAGTCAAAGCCAACATTCAGTATAAAAAAGTTCCCTTTTTTCTCCAAGGCTGATTTTCACAAGCCTGACAAGGAAACAGCCCCCACATGTGAGCCGGGAGAGCCATGTCCTCAGAAGAAGAGAATCAGGCAGCTGACCCCTGTGGATTCCTAACGCTTCTCCCTGTTCCTGGAGCCCCTCCAACCACAAAGACCTGCTGAGTGGGCTACGACCAAGGCAGCTCCTGAATGGTACAAACATGTCGAGCTTCCAAGCTCTTCCATCCTCCAGCCTCGCCCTCCTCTCTCCTTCCCCATGATCAGATGTGGGGAAAATCTTAATCTATGAGGCACCGAGCCTGAGGCGGCCACATCAGGGCTCTCCCAGCTCCATCCCAACCAGGTCCCACAGGGAACACTTTGCAAAGCTAAGTGTAGGGAGCAGGGGTGGGGGGGCAGTTCACCTACTGCAAAGAGCTTAATGGGAAGCAGGGAATCTCCCGGGAAAGGCAACTCTCCCACCAGACAGAAGAGCAGCCCAGCTTACACCCAGTCAGTGGGACAAAGACCGTGGAGGGACCAGGCGACCACCAGAGCGGAAGGGGCTGCTGAGAGTAGGGGGCGTGATGAGGCCATGCTCCAAGCCTGCCCATCGGAGCCAGTGAGGTAAAAGAACTGAACTGAGGAGGCAAGGGCAGGCAGCGTGGGGCCTGGCCCACAGCACCCACCCCCTGCACGCTGAGCGAGTCTGCTGGCCACGGGGGGACAGACCCACAGTACAGCCCCGCTCCACTCTGATGAGCTCTTGTTCAGCCAGAAAGCAAACACTTGTGATCTTGAAAACAACGATCCTGCTGCCCCTGGATTCGTTTGGTGGGAAGCCAGGCCTCTCAAGGAAGGAGGCCCAACCTGAGAGGAAGCTGGGGTGGAGCTAGCCAGAACTGCACATGGAGACAGAGGTGTGTGACCCCTTTTGGAGGTGGCTGTGCTAGGATCAGGCAATGAATGTCACCCACGACCACACCCCTTCACCTGGATGGGACAAAGGGGCTGGGCACCACGCTGGAGTCCCATGTCCTCTAAGAACCTAAGTTTATATTTCTATTGGCCACAGCAAAAACACCTTCAGGCCCGACCTCTGGAAAGGTGAAATGGGGTCATGTCACAAGGACAGGAAGTGGAGAAAGGTGGTTGCCCAAGGACCCATATGCGACCTCAATCCACAGCATGCTGGGGATTTCACTGCCCTGCCCCGGCCCCTCCTTCCATCAGCACTAATTTCTGACGTAGGAACTGCTTCCCTGGTGCTGTGAAAACGGCTGCAAAGCTGTGGGTCTGCCACAGGTCGGGGACCTGCTGAGGGGTGACAGCTGGTGTGTAAGCCGCCTGGGTCAGGAGGGACAGGCCTTTCGGCTTTCAGAAAGCCCCACAGCGGCCTCTGCTCTGTCCCTGCATCCCCACTCATTGTGAAAGAGGAAAGAGCAGTGCAAGGAGCTGATGGCACAGAAAGATTTCACAGAAATACTTGCAGAAATGTATGTACCAGACAGGATTTTTTTCCCCTTTTCAGATTGATTTTCTCATTCTCCAAAGTGTCAGCATTTTTAAGTCTCTTTTATGGGAGTTGGAGTGAAATAAGTGTAAACAAACCACAGCCCCGTGGTCAGCGTCTACTGGAGGCCGTTGGCAGACTGCCTCAGTTTCCCCATGCCCTGGCCGGGACCCAAGGATAGAGGTTAAGAGGCCCTTGTGCTGGCCAGATTCATCAGGCAAGATTCAAGAACAAGAAAACCTGGAGGACTAGCAACAGTGTGTCTGCAGTAAGAGAAACAGCTTTGTGGCCCTACAGCCACGGTAATCGTGAGCACCAAGAGAAATGGATTTAAGGAAATACCTCAAACAAAAACATGCCACACAGACACACACCCTTCGAAGTCACACATAACCTAACAGCCTTAAACAGCTACCAAAACAGAATCTGATCATTAAATCAGCAAAAGGGAGAGATGGAGAGAGGTAGGCCAATGAAGCAAGAGGCCCATTTTATATCTGAATTTGTTTTAAAAAAGGACTCCCAGCAAGGGGTGGGGAGAAAGCTACAGATTTAGGAGAGGTCTAGGCTGGGCCAAGCACTGCGGCCACCCACGTGGTTTATGAAGGCACAGACTGTGGAGGGGCCGAGCTCACGCCCCTCCATGAGCCCTAACAGCTGTGAACGTTTCGTGTTTTCCTTTTCCCCTTTGGCCCTAGGGGAGCCCTTACCACGGTGGTCTTCCCCTTTTGAAGGGGCTTCATGTTTACCTGGGGGTAACGATGGTTCTCTTACCACATCCTGTGGAAATGAGGAACGAGCCCAGCCTCATCTTGTGCTTGCCTCTCAGGAGAGGGATCCAGAGGCCTGTAAACACGTGTTCTGGGGAGGCCGAGGGGGTGAAGCATAGACCGGGGGCAGGTGACAGGTTAGTGACCTGCAGCAGAGGTGCTGGTGCGGACGGCAACATGGGGAAGAACCCCCATCCAGCCTCAACACCCAAGGCTGAGGCAGGACTGACCGCCCTCTGAGCACCTTCTTCAGTTCTCCAGGAACCAGGGGGTGCCTCCTAATGGATCAGAACCTCAGGAGGTAGCCGTGGTCCCCCTCACATGGCTCCTGGGCCCCCTCAAAGCCCACCCAGCTCTCCTGGCCTGCCCAGCACTGTCCAGCTTCATCTCTGGTGGGAGGAGAGCCAGCGGGCCCCTCTGAACTTCACAACTGGACCATAAAAGCACATTCTTTCAACAAGAAGGTGCCTTTGGCCGGGCTAGGCTTCCTGGGTGTTAGAGCGCCCTTCACCCACAGCTACTCCTGCAGACACAGCGAGGACTGGCCCAGACCAGCCTCCTGCCATGCCTTCCTCTGGACCCTCCGCTGTAATCCCCATATCTGGAAACAACCGGTGCCCTAGGGACCCCCCACCGATCAATTCAGTGCAATTCTTTACTATCGGATCTGGGCGATGTCTGGACAGCTGAGGCTGGCCAGGAATTCCGCCTGTTGACATTCCATTTCTTCCTCAAAACAAGACAGGACAGCCTTTGGGTGTGGTGACCTCTTTGGTCCGAGAACCATTCCAGTTTGAGGCTCCCGGGTGAACAATGCAGACAAGATGACCAGGCTGGTGGAAGCACCCTGGAGCCTGGCTTTTTGAATGCTTCACCC